AATATGTTCATTCATTCAAATGATTAATAATTTTTAATCCAAACTTTAAAACATAATTTTAATGTTGTTTATGACAATTGGCTTTTCTACTTCAAGATCCCAAAAGGACCTTCTTTGAACACCAATACTGTACAGTATATTAAAACTTATTATAATATGCTGTACACTAAAGTGACCAACCGTCCCTTATGGGCAAGTTTTTGTTTGACACATTTTGTCCCAGCTGGTTTTCACAAGTACCAGAGAGCATCCAGGGAAAAATTGAATGTTACCTAAAATGTTCCTGTTGAAATTATGACAGGTACTACAATGTCCCGGAATTTTTTAATAATTTTTTATGAAATGTTTCGCTTGTGCAAATTTTGAGTTGGTCACTCTAGTGTACACTGAAAACAATACAATTATATAAACGATTGCTTATAATTTAAAATATTGATAAAAATTAAAAAATACCAATTTCTTCATAAATTATTGAATATTTTATTGGTTATTGTCCATAATATGAGTTAAAATTTTACAACAATTTATTATAAACTCTGATTTGTATATAAGTTTGATATTATCTAAGAGAACAATTTTCTAAACATTAAATTTCTAGTTGTTATTTAATATATAAAATTTATCATTTGTTTATTATATGCCATAATTACCATGTAATAAATGATTTAACAATTTATCTACAATAGTTATAAACATTATACAATAAACTATTATGATTAAAATATAAATACAATAAATTTTATGATATAATTATCAAAAGTGTGCGAAAATATAATTTTTTAAATCCTTGAAATGCACTTTTTTTAAATTTAAGTAATTATATGTTTTTATCAATTACTTTATTATTTCCTTTATTATTAAAATTTAATAAAAATAATTAAAATCAGTGGTTATTTTAAGAATATAAAACAAAATAAATAAACATCTGTTTAGTTATTATGTAATATCAATAATTTATTTTGAAAACATGTATAAATTGTATATCAATACTTTTAATAAATTACCAGGATTAGAAGTTCTCATATAATTTGCAATAAAGTGAATATTTTGAAATTAATGTTTTTCACATAATATTATACAGAATTACATTCAATTAATTAATTAAATTTACAAATGATATCTAAACTACATTAAAATAATTGATTGGTTAAAACAATAGAACATAACGTGAATACAAAACTGTAATAAAACTTGAAGGATAATAATTTTCTCACCTTTTTGTTTTTTAAACATTAGACGAGTAAATTAATTTGCGAAATGTAAACACAATCATGTTATGTTATAAATAAAATGTATATATTGTAATAATACAACTATTTAACTTTGAAAACATTTTACAATACAGTATAAGTATATTTATAATAGAAGAAGGAATTAAAACAAAAGTTTTAATTTGGATAAAAATGTTAAAATTTAAATTTATTTTACAAATAATTAGCATATTTTTAATTATAAGTGTTTCCAATACTAATACTGTAAATAATTCATTAGTTTTATGGCAAAAATTATCACAATATGTGATGAATTGGAGTAAAGAATTTGCGTTCAATAATAGACCAATTGTTAAAGAATTGCTTGATTTGAGTGATGTTTCGGGCAATTGTTCAAAGAGTATATTCTCGACATTGGATGGCATCGAAAGACTGGACGACTGGTCCATACAAATGATCAATTCGTGGGCAGATTTTCCACCAAAAGGTAAAATTGTTTTGTAAATAAGTTAAACTGAAAATATACAAAATTACCAAGTTGATTATTATATTTATTAGAAAATTTTTTTAATTAAAAATATTTTATTTCACTAATTAAAGGAGTTTTAGAGGGAAGACTTACGGACTTTGGATCCTATGATCAGTGTTTGTCAATCATTGACAACCATATGATAGGATCGGCTCAGTATTGTTCCCTGGATTTGGTTCCCTATATTCCCCGACCAATGCCTAAACAACACAATCTGTTTCACAAAATCCCAAATCTATTACCCATTGATATAATACAAAACAAATCTAATGCATTGAATATAATGGCAACTGAGGCCTCATTTTTCTATTGGATGTCATTTCGGACCGGCGTTTGTGTACCGAATAAATGCTCACTAAATGATGTAAAATCTATTGCAATGACTGGTAATTAACAAATAATAATTTTTCAATACATCTCATAATTAAACAAAATTTATTTAAAAACCAAATATAGTGGCGACTAAACTTGGACTACAATTGAAAGCATTTAGATGTGAGACTAAATCAAAGACAAGATTAACTTCAATTCAATTGTTTGCAATGTCTGTCAAAAAATATTTGTTTTGTCAATTATTTTAAATGTTGCTATATTTTTATTCAGAATATTCACCACAATATTCCTATTAATGTGTGTTTTGGCCACATTTTCCGACTTAAGACATGGTTTTAAAAGTAATCCCATTAACAGCTTATATTACAAAACCAATATTAATTTACACTAATTAACAGTTAATTAAATTTTTTATCATAATTTTAATAACAGAAGATTCAATTGGTTTTGTTTTCGTGAGAATATTCTCCATAAGAAAGGCATACAACAGACTCACAGCTCCGACCACTTCCGCAGATCTTACATGTATTCACGGCATAAGAGTCCTATCAATACTGTGGCTATTGATAGGGCACAGTATCCTATGGCCTAACTTTCAAATGTTTGGTAAGCGATAATTTATTTGTAACACTTTTTAAATAATTTCCAACAAATAGACAATATTTTTAAAACCAAACATACATTGACTGACATTACATCACATCCATTATTGAATGCCGAGTACGGAATCGTCACATTCTTGATCATAAGGTATTTATGTTTACATTCTTTAAATTAAAAAGTTGTTTATTTAGTATACATTTTACCACATTTTAGCGCAATTCTCACCATTTATATATCGTTATCGGTTACAAAAGGCAAACCCGAAAATTTTAGTTTATTTCTTTATATTGTGTTACGTTTGGCCCGACTATTGCCACAATTAATGATATTTATATTATTGACATTTTTGTTACCACTGTTGGGTTCGGGCCCTCTTTGGGCTGAAGTGGTCGGCAGTAATGTTGACAAATGTCAGACCAATTGGTGGCTAAATATGCTTCTCATTCAAAATCTCTACAAATCTGATCAAATGGTATAACTTTTATAACTTAACTTTTAGTCTTTATAGTATAACTTAAATAATAATCTAGTTAATAGTTACTGATTTAATTAAAAAAAACAGTGTGCGGTTCACACGTGGTATATCGCTCTGGACTTTCAATATCACGTAATGACAGCTATTGTCGTATTAGTCTATCTGTACAATAAGAAAGCGGGGATTATATTAAACACAATAATAATTGTGATATTTTTAATCATCTCATCGATTATGATATATGTATACGAAGTGCCGCCGGCTATCATCCATACATCGCGAACGTATGTAAAAAACGTTATTAGTTTACCGTAAGATACAACATAATAATCACCATGATACTTTTACAATTATATAATTTAAGGGAACATTTTGAAAAATATTTCGGGAATCTCTATCACAAACTTCCGCCGTCTTATGGAGTCATGTATTTCATTGCTATTATGTTTGGATTTGCTATCCATAGGAAACCCACATTCAATATAACCAAAGTTTGTATTAAATGTCTGTGTTTTAACAAATTGGTAAACAGTTATTATATTTGAATAAATATTTAAACCAAATTTCAGTCATCGCTGACTATCATATGGATTGCAATACTCGCCGCCTATTGTATCCCATTGTGGGATAAAGTCTACTGGAGTTACGGCCGACCCTTCAGTCCCGCTTTTGCCACAGTTTTCTATACATTATGTCGAGTGATTTGGACGGTCTGTACGTCACTAATGATATGGTTGTGTATATCGGGAAAGGGAGGGCTAATCAACACATTTCTATCGCACCGGGCATTCGTACCGATGGCTCGGTTGACATATAGTGTGTATTTATGTCACGCGTGGCTCATATGGTATTTCATGGGTTCGCGCCGTCATGTGATGGACACTCATATGTATAACGTATTGATTAATTTCAT